AGCAGCTGGAGGACCAGGGCAAGGGAAACTAGCAGATATCACACTTGGTGTTCAGCATGGGAGCAATATAGCGGGAGGTGAGTGGAGAGGATCAGCAGAGCTGGAGGACCAGGGCAGGAGAAACTAGCAGATGTCATACAAGGTGTGCAGAATGGGAGCAATATAGAGGGAGGTGAGTGGAGAGGATCAGCAGAGCTGGAGGACCAGGGCAGGAGAAACTAGCAGATGTCACATATGGTGTGCAGCATGGAAGCAATATAGAGGGAGGTGAGTGGAGAGGATCGGCAAACCAGAGGATCAACAGAGCTGGAGGACCGGGAAGGAGAAACTAGCAGATGTCACACATGGTGTGCAGCATGGGAACAATATAGCGGGAGGTGAGTGGAGAGGATCGACAATCCAGAGGATCAGCAAAGCTGAAGAACCAAGGCAGGGGAAACTAGCAGATGTCACACATGGTGTGCCGCATGGGAGCAATATAGTGGGAGGTCAGTGGAGAGGATCAGCAGAGCTGGAGGACCAGGGCAGGAGAAACTAGCAGATGTCACACATGGTGTGCTGTATGGGAGCAATATAGCGGGAGGTTAGTGGAGAGGATCGGCAAACCAGAGGATCAGCAGAGCTTGAGGACCAGGGCAGGAGAGACTAGCAGTTGTCACACATGGTGTGCAGTATGGGAGCAATATAGAGGGAGGTGAGTGGAGAGGATCAGCAGAGCTGGAGGACCAGGGCAGGAGAAACTAGCAGATGTCACACATGGTGAGCAGTATGGGAACAATATAGCGGGAGGTGGGTGGAGAGGATCGGCAAAGCAGAGGATCAGCAGAGCTGGAGGACCCTGGCAGGGGAAACTAGCAGATGTCACATATGGTGAGCAGCCTGGGAACAATATAGCGGGAGGTGAGTGGTCAGGGTGCCCATACTGACCCGTGTCCACAGCCAAAAGTGTCTACAATGGGCACGTGAGCCTCAGAACTGGCCCATGGAGCCATGGAAGAAGGTGGCCTGGTCTGTTTTCTTTTACATCATGTGGATGGCGGGGGGGTGGGTGGGTATGCATCACTTACCTGGGGAAAAAGATGGCACCAAGATGCAGTATGGGAAGAAGACAAGCCGGTGGAGGCAGTTTGATGCTTTGGATGTTACTTGACACATATCACCTACCAAACGTTGTGGTGACCAAGTCCACCCCTTCATGGAAACCGTATTCCCTGATGGCAGTGGACTCTTTCAGCAGGATAACGCCACACTGAACAAATGGTTCAAGAATGGTTTGAGGCACACAACGAGTTTCAGGCGTTGACTTAACCGTCAAGTTCTCCAGATCTCAGTCTAACCGAACTGGATCATTGGATTTGCTGGACCAAAAGGCTGGTCCATGGAGGCACCACCTCGCAACTTACAGGACTTAAAGGGTCTGCAACTGATGGCTTGGTGCCAGATACCTTCAGAGGTCTAGTGGGGTCCATGCGGCAATGGGTCAGGGCTGTTTTGGAGGCAATAGGGGGACCTACTCAATCTTAGGTGGGTGATTATAATCTGGCTGGTCAGTGTGAGGTGACAGTGTGTCTTCTCAGACAGTGGAGGAGGAAGCAGTGCTTGATCAGTAAGTTGTATGTTAAGTGATAGCAGGAACAGAAGACTGGAGGTCAGCTTTAAGACCTGAACTGGTGGATTTCACACTCAGGGATGAACAGGGATACGTGGACAAGGTACAAGGCTTTGCTTCCGACACTGTTGTTCAGTTGTTGTCCTGAGGACAGATTCTCCCCCCTGAGCTGTGATCTCTGCAGCTCCTCCAGAGTTCCCATGGGCCTCTTGGCTGCTTCTCTGATGAATGCTCTCCTTGCCCGGCCTGTCAGTTTAGGTGGGCGGCCATGTCTTGGTAGGTTGGCAGTTGTGCCGTACTCTTTCCATTTTCGGATGATGGATTGAACAGTGCTCCGTGAGATGGTCATAGCTTGGGATATTTTTTTTATAACCTAACCCTGCTTTAAACTTCTCCACAATTTTATCCCTGACCTGTCTAGTGTGTCCCTTGGCCTTCATGATGCTGTTTGGTCACTAATGTTCTCTAACAAACCTTTTGAGGGCTTCACAGAACAGCTGGATTAATACTGAGATGACACAACACACAGGTGGACTCTATGTTCTAATTAGGTGACTTTTGAAGGCAATTGGTTCCACTAGATTTTAGTTAGGGGGCTGAACACAAATGCACTCCACACTTTTCAGATATTTATTTGTAAAAAATGTTGAAAACCATTTCTCATTTTCCTTCCACTTCACAATCATGTGCCACTTTATGTCGGTCTATCACATCCAATCCCAAATAAAATATATCAACGGTTTTGTTTGTCGTCGTGACAAAATGTGGAAAATTTCAAGGGGCGTGAATACTTTTTCAAGGCGCTGTATCCACCAAAATGCTCCCTCACAGTGAGGTTGCCTTTACACTGCAAGGGTTGAATGCTCTTTTAGGTCTAGAGAGGCTGCAAAAAGTGACCTTCTGTTCCCTCAGACTCATACGCTCCAGTGGTGGACTGTCTATGGGTCCTGTCTATAGTGGACTGTCTATGGGGCCTGTCTATGGTGGACTGTCTATGTTCCTGTCTAGGGTGGACTGTCTATGGTGGACTGTCTATGTTCCTGTCTATGGTGGACTGTCTATGGGGCCTGTCTATGGTGGACTGTCTATGGGACCTGTCTATGGTGGACTGTCTATGGGACCTGTCTATGGTGGACTGTCTATGGGGCCTGTCTATGGTGGACTGTCTATGGGGCCTGTCCACAGCAGAGGTACTCCGAGATCTGGCATTCCTGCCAGTACGTTTAATGGCCGCAGAAATGCACGCTGGTGAAAATCTATGTGCATTGGTGCATGGACGCGAGACGGAACACGCATGTGCACTGGTGCATAGTCACGCATGCGTTAGCTCAGTTTGGTGCCAGGCGGCCTTTATGAGGAAGCCCATCACTCTCAAATTGCTGGTTGATCTCTAGCTCCCCAGTACCATTGTCCGTGTTCCCTTGCTGCTGTGATCTGCTGTTACCAATTTGGCTTGTTCCTGGACCTGTCTTCTCTGCCTGACTCCTGATCTGACCTCGGGCTTGGCTAATAGATGTTCTCACCCGCTCCCGCTCTCCTGATCTGACCCCGGCTTGGCTAATAGATGTTCTCACCTGCTCTCCAGATCTGACCCGGCTTGGCTAATAGATGTTCTCACCCGCTCTCCTGATCTGACCCCAGCTTGGCTAATAGATGTTTCTCACCCGCTCCCGCTCTCCTGATCTGACCCCGGCTTGGCTAATAGATATTCTCATGCTCTCCTATTCTCAGCTGCTCTCCTGATCTGACCCTGGCTTAGCTAATAGATGTTCTCACCTGCTCCCCTGATCTGACCTCTGCTTGGCTAATAGATGTTCTCACCTGCTCCCCTGATCTGACCTCTGCTTGGCTAATAGATGTTCTCACTCACTCTCCTGTGCATGACACTGTCTATCCTATTGACTACGTCTGCTCCAATCTCCACCTGGCATCTAACCTTGGCTTTGAACCGACTGCTCTGTGGTCCTCTACTACCCTGAAGGCCTGCATACCTCTCATGGGCACCACCTGTCTGCAGACACCGTTCCATTGCATCAGCTGTGCTCCTGGGTGTACCTCTGACAAGCACTCCTACTGGCGACCCATGCTACTTTGAGCCTGACTCCTTCTGTCCCATATCCAGGGGAGTCTGGAACTTAGCCACAAGGGAAGCCCTCTCTCCATTGGCCTCTAACACCAGGTACGTGATAGGTGGACTGTCTATAGGAGCTATGGATTCTCTAATGCAACTTGATGACATCAGCAGGGGCGTATTTACTGTGAGGCAAACAAGGCATTTGCCTTAGGTGGTATTTTTCAGGGCCCCCTTGAAGAAGGGACACACATGAGAATGGAAACTAGACCACTAGTGAGGCACTGCATGAGCGCCGCTCCACCACATGGGATCCAAAAGAGACTGAAGGGTGCCTAGGGCAGCACAAAACCAAAATACACCACTGGACACCAGAAGATCTGCAACTGCTGGAATGTAGAGGAGAGCCTGAGAATAGGGACCTACAGCCTAGAGGAAGTCTACAGGATTGGTGAATCGGGAAGAAAAACTGCCTATTGTGGCCTCCTAGACCTAAACAAGAATATGCAGCCTGGAGCATCCTTATTGTGTGAGGGAGCATTTTTCCTTTCCCTGGAGTTCAACTTTAAGAGCAGACTGTGAGTGAAACGTTCTGTCCACAAAGGGTGGCTCATGGAACCCGTCCATTACACTGCGAACACAAAGGTAAAGGTCTATTCTATGATGGTTCAGGACAGAGATCTCTGGACACATTCACATTTTAGAGACAAAAAAATGAAAATCATAACTGTGACGTCACTGTATTATTTGTGTCTTTGTCCAGATCCAGAATCTGCATCCTCCCCCAAGATGGACCTCCTGGTGATGGTACGCCCAACAACCAACTTTATTTCATGCCAGGGTACTAGGTGTAATCCTAAACTCCCGTCTGTCCTGTCAGCTCCAAATCCAATCACTGTCCAAATCATGTAGACTTCACCTCCGCAACATCTCCAACCTCCGCCACATCTCCGACCTCCGCCACATCTCCGACCTCCGCCACATCTCCGACCTCCGCCACATCTCCGACCTCCGCAACATCTCCAACCTCCGCAACATCTCCAACCTGCCACAACATCTCCAACCTCCACAACATCTCCAAGATACGCCCGTTCTTAACCACCAAAACCACTAAGCAACTTATTCACTCCCTGGTTATCTCTCACCTTGACTATTGTAACTCCCTCCTCATTGGCTGACCTCATCGCAGGCTATCCCCTCTTCAGTCTATCATGAATGCTGCTGCCAGACTCATCAATCTTACTAACCATTACACATCTGCCAATCCCTCCACTGGCATCCATTCAGTATCCTCCAACACTCTGGCAATCCCTCCACTGACCTCCATTCAGTGTCCTCCACCCTTCTCTGCGAATCCCTCCACTGACCTCCATTCAGTGTCCTCCCGCCCTCTCTGCCAATCCCTCCACTGACATCCACTCAGTGTCCTCCACCCTTCTCTGCCAATCCCTCCACTGGCCTCCACTCAGTGTCCTCCACCCCTCTCTGCCAATCTCTCCACTGGCCTCCCATTTAGTGTACACCATCCCTCTCTGCCAATCCCTCCACTGGACTCCATTCAGTGTCCTCCACCCCCTCTCTGCCAATCCCTCCACTGGCCTCCACTCAGTGTACTCCATCCCTCTCTACCAATCCCTCCACTGGCCTCCACTCAGTGTCCTCAATCCCTCTCTGCCAATCCCTCCACTGGCCTCCACTCAGTGTCCTCCATCCCTCTCTGCAAATCCCTCCACTAACCTCCACTCAGTGTTCTCCACCCCTCTCTGCCAGTCCCTCCACTCAGTGTCCTCCACCCCTCTCTGCCAATCCCTCCACTCAGTGTCCTCCATCCCTCTCTGCAAATCCCTCCACTAACCTCCACTCAGTGTTCTCCACCCCTCTCTGCCAGTCCCTCCACTCAGTGTCCCTCCACCCCCCTCTCTGCCAATCCACTGGCTTCCCATTGCCTAACGAAAAAAAATTAAATACATTAACAATAACATATAAAGCCATTTTTAACTCCGCCCCAAATTACATCACCAATCTTGTCTCCAAACATCACCCAAACCGCCCTCTCCGCTCCTCCCACAACCTCCTACTCTCTAGCTCCCTTGTCTCCTCCTCCCATGCTCGTCTCCAGGACTTCTCCAGAGCTTCCCCCCCCATCCTCTGGAATTCTCTACCCAAACTTATCAGACTATCGCCTACTCTGCTCACTTTTAGGTGATCCCTGAAAACCGATCTCTTCAGGGAAGCCTATCCTGCCCTCAGCTAATAATGGAATCTTCTACTCCTCCTACCAGCCCATCCCCCACAGTTACTGCCTTTTGTACCACCAGCCCCTCCCTCTTAGATTGTAAGCTCCCAGGATCAGGCCCTCCTAATGATCTTGTATTGAACTGTATTGGTTGCTGTATTGTCTCCCTGTATATTGTACAGCGCTGAGCAAACTGTTGGCGCCATAAATCCTGTATAATAATAATTTCATCCATCGTGCTAACTCGACATCTGGCCCACAGTTCAGGTGTTCTGTGTGCGGTCCATATCCACGTGTAGACCATAATCGTACAGATATGTTGAAGGTTCGAAGTGGTTTTCGTCTGCATCTGTCAACCATAACCTTGGTATTAAAATTTGAAGCCAGAAAAGGGGGGGGGGGAGGGGGGGGGGGGGGGGGGGGGGGGGGGGGGGGGGGGGGGAGGGGGTGGCGGAGGGGGAGTGCGGGTCGGGCATATGATCGGTGGGGGGTGGGGGGAGGGGGTCACTGGGGAATGGAGGAGAGGGGGGGGGCGGGGAACTACATTATTTCATGACAACAACTTTCAATCCAATTTCAAAATTCAGGACTTACATCAAAATCTAAGTAACGATTATGTCGGCAAACGGGTACGCAGGATAGGAATTATAGAGGTTTTTATTTATTTTGGGCGGGGGTGTGTTATGGGGGGGGGGAATAGTAGCGGGAGTAGCGTTTGACCAAATGGGGGGTTCGGGGGTCAGTGGGGGGGGTACAAAGTGAGGCCTAATGAATCACCAACGTAGAGCTCTTTCTAGTGACTTATTGGGGGGACGGGGAGCGGTATGTACTTTCTTGAGGGGGGGGAGGCATTCTTTTGGGAGCTGGGGTGTGGGGGTGATCGAGGTTTGGGGTCACAAAATAAAAGTAGCGGTTGGATTTAGAACAAAATTTTTAAAAAATACGAAGTAAAATAAAAATGGGGAGGGGGTATAAATAGGGAAAGGGGTTGAAGGAGGGGGGGGTGGGACATGGCGGGCAAGGGCTGGGGGCTCCTGGTGGGGGGTGTGTCAGGGGGGCTATGAGCGTAGTCTGATCGAGAAGGCGGTCCTCAGGAATATGTGAAAGCTACAGTGTGTGTACGCGGTGGACCTGGGTGAAACTGGGGGGGGAACGTGGCGATTAGATGGGGGAGTGTGTTGCGGGGGGCGCAGTAATACGGCGCGGGTGGGGTGAGGAAATAATTCTTAGGGGAGGGAGGAGAAAAAAGCTGTTCCTGGGGAGGGTCTTATGAGAGAGTGAAGTGACTCACGTAAAGAAATGGGAGTGAGAGGGGTAGATGGGAGGAGGGGGAGGTAGCCTAGGGGGGAGAGGGGGTAGCGGGCGGGAAAAAAAAAAAAAAAAAAAAAAAAAAAAAAAAAAAAAATGGAAGGTCGAGGCTTAAACTTGGAAAACCAGTCGATAAAAAGGATGGTCCTCCGGGAGGGAAACGTGCCTAGGGGGGAAAGTAACCGGGGGGGTAAAGCTTCTAAAAAAAAAGGTCTCGCGGGGGTCCCATGGGAATAACAACGAGGTCGTGGAGGGGGTGGGCAAAAATAGGGGTTGGGTGGGGGGGATGAAATTAGGGGGGGGGGGGGGGAAAAAAAAAGACAAAAAAATAAAAATAACAAACAAAATAAATTACGACTGGGGGGGAATGGGGTATAACATGGAGGGCGGGGGGGGCTGGAGCGTGGAATAGGAGGGTGGGCCTTTTGCCTGGGGGCAGTTCGGGGTCACTTAAGTGTCTGGTCAGGGCGTCGGCCGAGCGAACAGGGGACTGGGGGGATAGGAGCCATGTACGCTAACTAAGAAGAGGTACTATGTGTCATTGGGGGGGGACTTCGGACGGACGGGTAAATTTCTCTGGGGGGGGGGGTCCACTTCACACGAGGGACTAGGGCATGGTCCCTCGTGGTGGTCCCACGTTGGGGACTGGATGTTAAACTCTGCAACCCAATCGGGACGATGGGGTCCCTCTCTACAAGTCGGCTGACGGGGATCAGGCGGAGAGGTGTAACAGAGGTCTACCTGCTAGACATTGCGTGGGGGAGTGGGAGGGTGCAGGGGGGAGGGGGGTTCAGGAGGTAATGGGGGGGGGGGGCGAGGGGAGGTTCATGGTTCCACAGTACCATGGTCCTCTGCAAGCCCCTTCCACATGGGGGGCCCCACCCTTGGCCCAGGAGTAGGTTCTGGACCCACCTCACACCGGGTTGGGGGTGGATGACAGCCATGTCCTCTGCACCCCTGTTCAGACATCCCCATCCCCACAAGCCCATGTCTAATCTTCGCACCCCTTTCACACACCCCCTGAAGCCAGGTACGGGTGCATCCTACTTCACAGACGGCCGGGGTGGGGGGGTCGCCCGCCGACCTCCATGTCCTCTGCACCCCGCCGCTTTCACATTGCCCTTGCCCACGAGTGCCATGTTCCCTCTGCACCCCTTTCGCACATCCCCGGGACAGTCAATGTCCTCTAGCACCCCCATGGGGGACATGGCCCCCATCTGGGCCTGTACTCTGGTGCACGGCCAACTCACCACCGCGCCCCCACAGCCAGTGTCCTCTGGGCAACCCTTCACATCTCATCCCCGCCACGAGGCATGTGCGCTCTGTGGGGGACTGGGCCTCTTCAGGGGGGGAGGTCCCCTACACCATGAGCCATGTACTCTGCACGGGGGGGCCCTTCACTAAACAGGGTCCACAGCCCATCGTACATCGAGTACCAAGGGGTGATCTGGACCATGTTGGAAATCGGGCACCATGACCGAGGGCCCAGGGTCAGTAGGGAGGTGGGGGGCATGAGATGCGAGGGGGGGGGTTACCTTTTCTTTCATAGGCATTTTTTGAGTTTTGGCGGGGGAAGGACTCATGGGGGCCCCCATGAGATCCCATATTGCGAGACTGGCCCGGGTCCAGTAGGGTAGGGACAATGAGATGCTACCTGGGTACATTTGTTCCATCAGGGTTTTTTTTGAGTTTGGGCAGAAGGACACAGGGGCCGTGACGGCTGGGGGGGGGATTCCCCATTATGCGGGCTTCGGGTGGGACCCCAATGGAGATTTGTCAGCCGCCAGACTCCTGCTCTGCACGGGCTCTTTCAACACAGAACTCTCTCAAACTCTGAGGGGGACTTTAGCACTGGACCCCCTCGCGGGCCCCCACCCAGCCATGGTGCCGTTAATATACCTCCCCCGCCTTCACAAAGCGAGTCGCCTCTCTACAGCGGGGGGTCCTCTTAACGCCTTTCTTGTGGGGCGTGACACACTTAAACGGTGACAGAAGCTTGCGGAAGGGTCAGCTACCGGGTGTTCCGTCACGGTGCGTGCTAAGGGTGGGGGGGTTGGGAGAGTAAATTGGGTGGGCCCCACGGCTCACCGTACTCTGGCATTCCGGTGAGAGGTTCGCGACATGGGGGACCCCTGGCACATGGGGGGCAGCTGGCTTGCTTCAACACCCCTCCCTCCACAGTGTCACACGTCTTCTACCCCCCTTAAACATCCCCCTCCTCTCAGTCAGCCATAGTCCTGCTGCCCCACCTTCCACACATCCAGCCCACCCTCCACAGCCATGGGTGTCCCCTCCCCCCTTCACACTCATCCCCCCTCCACAGCCTCTTGTTATTCTATCCACTTCACACATAGCATTCCCCACAGCAGGATTGTCCTCTGCAACTCTTTACAACTCTCTCCCCCCCGCCCACAGACCATGCCTTCTTACGGGGGCGGTGGGGGGGAGTTTCACATCCCCCCTAGCCCCCTCTCACATCCACGGTCCGCGCCACCCTTCACAATTTTGGTGCTGCAAACAGTGGTTGCGGGTCACATATAGTAGCGGCCCCAAACATGTGGCAGAACATTTTGTGCCCGTATAGCCCTTACCAGCCACCTACGGACACTCCATGGACAGCCCAAAACCTATGAGATGTCAAGGTCCTCTTCGATCACAATGGACGAACATCATCATCATTAGAGATGAGCGAATCGAACTTTGCGAAGTGTAATTCGTTTCGAATATTAGGAAAAATTCGATTCGCACCGAATCCGAATATTAGCAAACTTCGGATGCGCGAATCGAATTTTTTTTCCCGATCGGCCGATTTTCATCCCTTCTACAGCCGGCAAAAAGTGTCCCTGCAGAGAGCTCCGCTATTTCTGACAGTTCTCTGACAGTTCCTTCACATTTTACAGCGGTTGAAACATTGTATCTATTTGTTTCCATTTAGGATACAGATGTTTTTATTCGGAAAACAAATAGATACAATGTTTCAACCGCTGTAAATGTGAAAGAACTGTCAGAGAACTGTCAGAAATAGCGGAGCTCTCTGCAGATACACTTTTTGCTGTACTGGAATTCTTCTTCTTTTCATTCTTCTTCTTCTTTTCATTCTTCTTCTTCTTCTTTTCATTCTTCTTCTTCTTTTCATTCT